TTTCCAAGAGACACCATATATGAGATTTTAACATACCTAAAGCACGAATCAAAGAGCTGAGACCAAATAAAGGTCAGAAAACCAGAAAGATAAAGCTCAACAAAACCAAGCAGCAGAAACAACTTCAAATGCCAGTTAAAATCAGCTTAGAACCTAGAGAAGTCAGCTTCCCTTTGGAATTACTTTGCTTACAAAATCAATCCCAAATCCTATTGTTTTTCTTCTTCTTTTCAAACATTTTTTTGTTTTTTTTATGTTTTCTGAAACTTAAAAGGAAGCTAGAATTCAGAAAATCTGCTCTACTAAAGATTGAAAGAAGTCTGAGAGTGCCGAGTGAAAAAAGTGAGTGTAATATGAGAGTGTATGTGTGCTTTTATGCAGAAAATGAGAGTTGTTTTAGGAATTTGTCCTTCCCTATAATTTAGGGGAAATGCATCTTTACAACAGATTTTGGACAACTGTCCATCCGAAATTCCTCCTATTCATTCCCAGCCTCTTTTACCCCTCTGTATTTACCCAAAATTGACCTAAATTTCCCTGTTTTTACTACCCTAGACCTTCTAGACACTTCCAAGAAGTTATATGAATGTTCCCTCAATTTCAAATCTCCTAATTACCCTTTAGGGCTCTGCTATTTACCTTTCAAACCATAATAGAAATCTGGGCCTTAAGACTCAATAGGCCTGCCTGTCAAACAAGGCAAGCCCCCAATCCATTTTCAAGACAGGCCACAATCAATATGATTCTGCTAATTAAAATAATCGAATTCAAACAAAGCTATAGAAATTCAAACATAACCTAAATTAACAAAGAAACGATTAAGGTTAAAACCAATTATCTTGAACATCTAAAAATATACCAATCCGTCTCCTAAGAACAAGATTAAAACAAAACAGAGATGAGCAAATCAGAATAATAAACAGTAACTCAACCCTAACTAAGGTAAAAAAAAATCTAAGAACTTGATAAATTCTAAGGCATGCAACAACAATTAATCTAGTTAAGCAAATGTGACCAATCTCGCATGAAACCAATTTGAACCAACAGGCACAGATAAACTCTCATACCACTGAATTAACAATAAGACCTCAAAAACCACAGAAGGAGTTAACAGTTATAAACATGAAGGTGGAAGATGATCACATTTGAAGCCATCAAGACCAGGAAATCGCCGGTCGATAGTTGATATCACAAAATGAGCACTGACTCGCACCTATCGGCAGAACTAATGTAGCGATATTGATTACCATATTGAGGCGGAGAAACAAGTCAGCGGAGGATTCAAGGATTTTGACCAAAGATTAGATTTTTTCTTTAGGTCTAAGATCTGAAATTCGTGAAGATTGGTTGATTTTCTGTTGAAATTGATAGGATATTATGATTTTTGGAGGAGTTAGAGAGTGTAGGGTGTGAGTTTGGGGCTATTTGGCCAGTGGCAGCCGCTGTGGGCGATTTCTGGCGACGTCGGCGGTGGCGGAACAAAGAAAGAGAGAAGAGAGGTTTGAGAGGTTACTGGGGGGTGGGGGGGGTACGATCTCAGACGGTTATATTAGGGTTGGGGGAATTAGTTACGAACCGTTGGATTGGGAGATATGGACGACTGAGATCAAACATGACCAAAACAAGGTTGTTTTGGTCATTTGGTGGGGTGGACTGGATTTTAAACGGGTTTGGGGCTAGACTGGGGTGAGATAGTGAGGGAAATTTGGGCCATTGAAGTTATTTTTGGCCTAGATTCTAGTTAAGACCCAAATGAACCTTAGCTCCTTTTTTTGATAAACGGGGATAATATATATTAAAAACTTACGGAATATTGTCGTTTACATCATTCAAAATAGAAACAGCCCTAAGGACATTGGTATTGCCCAGGTCGGCTAGCATATAACATACATCAAAACTAATGTTCTTAACAAGGTAAACATGAGCCACCCTATCTGTTTCCAGATTATTTATAACAAAAGGGGGTGGTGTAGTTAGTAGTTGATGAGCAACTTGTTGATTGAGTGCATGTCGTGCCAGATTGTGTGCCACTTTATTCCCTTCCCTGAAGTTATGGATGATCAATGGCTCCTTCAGCTGGTGCATTAACCACCTGCATGATTGTAAGATAGAGTTCTGAGGAACATCATTTGATTTTAGTTGTTTTATTACCTCAGTTGTGTCCGTTTCTACGACAAGTGGAGTTAGTCTATGAGTTATAGCTAACTTGAGACCTTCCTTAAGAGCCTCCAGATCAGCTTGTAATGGTGAGCTAGCTGGGACAGTGCTTTGGAAACCCAAGATCCAATTCCCTGCTTGATTCCTAAATACCCTCCAATTCCCCCTAATTTGAAATTGTCCTTGAAAGCACTATCAATATTTAGTTTGAAGAAAGATTGATGAGGTTTACGCCATGCAACACTTATTGCATGGGAATGAACAATGTATTTTTCCTTATGAGTGAGCAGTTTATATTCTGTCACTAGGTTTAGAGCCTGTTTTGGATTATAAATACAAGAAAGATTTTCATGGTTATTTTTATTTTTGTTTTGCCAAATGCCCCAAAGAATAAAAAGGAGGAGTTCCTCCGAATTAAGGTGTGTATAGTGACTGGGGTTGCCGAGATCCTTTATCTTATCTAGCTAGTGGGAGACATTATTTAGAGAGGACCTATTTAGACCACTTAAATTCCAAAAATTGATGACAACCTTGCAATTTAAGAAGATATGAACTATAGTTTCATTTTTGTTTTTACACACAGGACATATAGGATCAATGTTAAGACCAATATGGTGAAGGTAGGACCGCGTTGGTAGTCTATTGTGATAGCATTTCCAAAGTAGGAATTTAATTTTGTTAGGGCATTGTAACGACCAGATCCAACTGAAATCAGTTAAGTCCGTTGAGTTGGTCCTAATTAGGTTGTAACAACTTTTAGAGGAGAAGTTTCCATCCCCCGTTAGGTCCCAAAATAATAAATCATGAGAGTAGTTGCTAGGGTGAATAGAAAAGGATACTATTTTTGATATCTATGGGGAGGTCAAAAGGAATTTTGTTAAGATCCCAATTATTGTTATGCCAAATGTCAGTAATTGTGAGGTCGCCACTGGATGAGGGGAGGGGACCTTCCACCAGTTGTCTAAGGTTTTTTGATTTTGGGATCCAGTTTGAATCCCATATGTTCATGGTGGAGTGAGTATGGGGGATCCATTTAGTGCCCATGGAACATACTTCCTATCCTTTAATAACACTTTTCCAAATGAAGGAAGTGTTCTTCAGATTTAAAGAGGAGTTGTAAATGGAGGAGAAGGTTTTTAACTAGGGTTTATTAGGATTTTGGATCAGTCTCCAAGCAAGGTTAGCTAAGCTGACTAGATTTTTATCTTTAGCAGAATGGATGCCAAGGCCTCTATTAAGCCTATTCCTGATTAAGATATCCCAAGAGATTAGATGCATTTTTTTGGATGTGTTAGTAGTCTCCCAAATTTTCTTTGTAATTTGTCAATGTGTTTTGTTATTTTTGTTGGTAGGAGATTATATTGCATGGCATGATTAGGGGTACTGTTTGGGGCTGATGAGGCAAGGGAGGTTCTACCTACAATGTTTAGGAAGTTTGATTTCCAAGATGCTAGTTTCATAGTCATATTGTCTATGATAAATTGGTAGTCGGAGAATTTAGGCTTTATGTTTGTAATTGGAAAGCCTAGATATTTTCCAAAATTTTTGCTAATGTTAATGTTGAAGAGTCTAGATAATCCCTTGGAAGTGACTTTTGGACAGTTTTTGGAGACAATAATTTTCGATTTGTTAAATTTATTTTTTGTCCGGATAAAGTACAGAAGGAATTAAGGCACTGAAGAATAGTGTTAGGGGATTTCTTATCAATTTTACACATAAGGGTAATATCATATGCATATAAGAGGTGAGAGAGATAGCAATGTTTGTTAGCCATTTTTATGGGGGCCCAAGCTCCAATATCCATATTATGATTTATTTGGGTTGATAGCATTTCCACACAGAGGATAAAAATGTATGGAGATAGTGGGTGTTTTCTTTCTTCTTTTTCTTTTAATTTTAAATTCTAACCTAATTAATTAAAAACCTAGATTAGGTCCTAAATTAAAATTTAATTTGTGAAATAAACCTAATTAACTATTTCTAATATTTGAACAATTAATTTAGCTTAAAATAACGAAAGGAAATTGCTAATTTAAAATTAAAAGCTACAAATGTAAAATAACTAATATTTTTTGTGATTTTGTTTAATAATGTAATTAACTCAAGTAATTAAATCCTAAATGCAACTAAGACCTAAAATGCTATGTAATGAAGAATTAAATATTTTTGGTATTTTTTATGACTTTAAAATATTAAAAGTGCACAAAAAATGCAACTACATGCAAACAATTACCAAAAATTCCTAAAAATTCTATAAAAAATAAAAAACAATTAAGAAAAAAATCTATTTATTAATTTTTGTGGGAGTATTTTCAGTGAGACAAAAATTACGTGCTCACAACAAGTATAGAGAGAGATATTGATATTATTCAACTTCAAACCGATGTACAGAATGAACTAAAAACTCCTCTATTTATAGAAGAAAGGAGTAGCTGCGAGGCTTTTCAGGAAGTAGCTGCAAGGCTTTTCTTGAGCTACTTGTAAGTTGTATGCATCAGCTACTTACAACCTGCCTGTTTAACAAGAAGCTGCTGCAAATTATTTCATTGAGTTGCTTACAACCTGCCTGCATCAATTGCTTGTAGATAAACTTCAATGGAGTATTAAATGGATAATCTCCTTTCCACAATATAATTATTTTCATAACATTAATGAAAATTTTGTGCATTAAAAATTAATAACAATATTTAGGTATTAATTGAAGTAATTTATATAATATTTTCAAATTTCTTTTTTATAGAAAATGACCTTGTCACACCGAACATATTATTTATGATTTTATGGGATATTATAAGGAAAATGGAAAAAAAAAAGTTAACTGTAGGGAGCCTAATAGACTGAAGAAGCGCGAGCCATGCCATGGCGCGCAGTGGACAGTTGAAATCATCAGATCAGACCGCTTTCCTCTTCTGCATTAAAAACGAAAACTAACCCCCAATGAGAAATGAAAGAGATAGGTGGAGATGTGGGTTATAGTATTTTAGTGACAGCCATGAAATATCGCACATTGGTCCCCATTTGCTCAGCAAAATTTGTTTCCCTTCATTTTCGTTAACCTCCCCTCAAAACACTAATCTCACTTCATAGTTTCCCTATTTTTTTCTCGCTCTGCCTAGTGTTTAACAAAAGATTGTTCAAGATTATGTAAGGGGTCTGTTTTTCTAAGTCGGCCTTTTTCTTTTCTTTTTTTCTGGGAATCATGTAATTGGTTGATCTTCCTTTTTTTTTTTTTTAAACTTAATGTATTTGGTTGATCTGCAGTTCGAATTTGGGCCCAGAAACTAATGTTGTATTATTCGGTCTAGTTTATTAGTTGGTGGAGTGAGTGATATTGGTTTGAGTCAGATGCAGGGCGGAATGATGTTTGCCAGGCTTGACGATTCGCCCATGTTTCGTCAGCAGGTAACAAAAATATTCATTCTTTAAACTTTAGCATTCTGATCCTGTGATTTTTGTGTGTGTGTGTGTTCATAAACGCAAATCTCCATGCGCAAAATACTGCTAGTAGAGCCAGTTGCTACCGTTGGTCACTGACGGAGTTAGGAATCATTCAACAAAATGCTTAAATGCTGTACCTAGTAGCTTCCCTTATATTAAGCGGATTCAACAGTTTATTTATATACAAAAAAAAAAAAAAAAGTTTTACCCTATTTGCAGTGTAATTTGCGGACCAATTAGGGGATTTGATTGAGCACCCTTCGGTACCTTTAGCTCCGTTACTGCCGTTGGTACTGATGATTTGGTGTGTATGTAGCCTCATGATGATTAGTTGTTAAGAAATTACAATAAGTTTCTGCCAAATGAATAGTAATTCATGAATTTTGGTTGAACGTTTTCTGCTTGGATAACTGCAGAGTAATCAACATTTGACTACTTTTTTTTTCTATTTAAAATTTGATCGATAGATACTTTGACTTTCTGAGGTTTAAAGTAGGATGTAGATGAAAGATGAGCAATCAACCTTTTATTTATTGTTAGTTTAAACTTTGACTTTTTGAGGTTTATGCTTGTGAATATCAATACTACTATAGTAATACTTTAGTTGTTAAATTATGGACATACTCTCTTTTACCCCTTTTCTTTCTTTTTTAGTTTTATATTAAAACTAGATCGTGTAGTCTTAAGAAGTGAAGTGTATGTCGAGAAAGTATGTACTTATGTATGTTGAGAAAGTAAGAGAGTGTGTGTGTGTGTATAACTGAAAACCTTATCTTTGTTGAGTGCATTTGCCGACTGTGGTTTGCCTGGTATGAACTGCGAGGTTATCATGATTAAGGTGTTTTTGAAGAGGGAACCAAGGAATTATAGTGTATGAAACGGAGGTTGCAAAAGATATCTTTCCATTAGTAGAGACTTGGAGACTTGTTTTCCTTGTTATCAACATGAAAACATGTTGTCTAAGATTTAAATGCAACGTATTATTACTTATATGTGGTATAGTCTTTAGTTAGATGCTAGGTGGTGTATCTAGTCCTGTGTGAATTTTCTAGATGCAGTTTGATATGACTTACGCTCACATAAAAGCTTAAGCCTTTTCCATGGCGTGTTTTAGTTTAATATGGATATCTGTAGGCTGAAGAATATGCTAACCATTTCTACTTTTCTCTGACCCACGAGTGTGGATCCTTAAATATTGTACTTGGTGGAACAGATCCAAGCTTTGGAGGAAGATTCCGAATTGTTGAGGGATAAATGTCTAAAGTTTTATAAAGGATGTCGAAAGTACACGTAAGTCTCTTTATGTTGCTCTATCAACTTGTCTTCATTAGTTATGTTGCACGGCACGCTTCATTATTAAGTGGTTCTTATGTATAAAGGGATTAGTAGAGAAGAGAGAACAACGGTTGGAAGAGAGGAAGGTCTGTATGGATAACAACAAGAAACTCAATAACAAAGCTCTAGCAGCAAAAAGTATTTTAACTTTGTTGCACATAAGAAAGGGTAGAATTTCATACATCATCTTCTAAAAAACGGAATACAACTTCGTAAAATCTTACCATTATTATCTTGTTATAACCCCAAACTTTTATAATATCTTGTTATACTCCTTCTGTTCCATTTTATATGGTGCTATTACTATTTGGAGAGTCGAACAGTGCTGTCTTTTGCTATGATTTTTAAAACATTTTGAAATATTTTTGACTCCAAAAATTGTTATCTACTGTACTTTTTATGTAGTTTCAGGATTTTTATTCGTATTTACGCTGAAAATTAGATGTGTTAATCCTCATACCTCGAACCTGGCCATTCTTTTTGGGACATAGGAAGAAAAAATTTCATGAAATATTGCCCTTGCCGTAGCACATTGCAAGATTGTATAATCAGTCATATTGTGCTCAATCAACACGTAGAATCGTTTAAACAGAATCTTATATTAGTGTATTTATGACTTTCTGCTAACAGCACATCCTTAATCTTTAGGTTTTAAGAGCACACATGAGGGATTAAAAAAGAAATGAAGGATTTTCCATGTCCTAACATGACCTGAGTGGAAGTTCTTCCGAGTGGATTTTGACATTGTGATTAGGGTATTGATGAGAAGAATAAAGAAAATAGATAGTCGTGGAAATGCAACATAGAAGGTTTAATCCCCAAGCCTCACTTCATCATCTCACTTGATGCCCAGTATTTTAGATGTTCATCAACCTGTATGTTAATCCTCTTCTTTTAACAGTTTTGAACTGTCCACCATAATAAATTTTGGGAATTTTAAGTCCCATTCAGTTTCATTATCAGATTGTTGTCGTATTTACATCCAATTTTATCCTGCAGAGCATATTATGGTCTTATCTGTATTAATTTGACAGTGCTTTTCCTCTATCTTCTATATCCGTCCTCCGCTTAATTGAAGTTCCTTTGGCAAGTAATTCTGTACTTGCTTACCTGATTGTATCTTTCAACATTTGCGTCTTCGAACTATTTGGGCTTATGGATGGACTATTGCAGTGTGTTCCACTTAATGAGTATAAAATGGCACACCAGTATGTGCACTTAATGCAAATAGATATACAATCTTCTTTTCAAGGATGTCATCAAACATCAAAGTTAGAATATTTTATTCCATAAATAATCCTAACTCTTGCACAAGTTTTGTGTTGTTTATAAGATTCATTCATTCTTTTTTCGAATTTATAGAGAAGGTCTTGGGGAAGCATATGATAGAGACATAGCTTTTGCCAGTTCTCTTGAAACCTTTGGAGGAGGGCACACTGATCCTGTTGCTGTTTCATTTGGAGGTTCCGTTTTGTCTTTATCTTTGCGTACAGCTTGCCATATAAATCTTGTGAATTGTTGAACACGAACAACAAAAGCATGAACATCGTGAGAAAGTTAACTATATAGAGGTTACACTTGCGAAGACATCACTATGAGCAACATCTAGAGGACACTTACGACCAACAAAAACCTCATTTCTCATAGGAAGTATTTTGTTAGGATATAGGACTACCTATCCACAAATAGTATATAGCGATTTCTAAATTCTAAATTATGAATTGCTGTTACCACTGATTTTTCTTAATCAACTTCTGGTGTTTCTATTATTAGCTAAAAGTTAAAAGGTGAATGGCTGTATGGAACAGATTTGCATCTTTTGCTATCCTTGTCAAGCTCAATTAACCTTGTTTGCAAACATTGTATTGATTTTCTGCAGTAAGCTCTACTTAACAAAGAATCTAGTGTCAAATTCCTCAGCCAATTTATATTGATACACGTGAGTTGCATTCTTAGGCCCTGATATGGTTAAATTTGCTATCGCCCTGAGAGAGATTGGAACATACAAAGAAGTTCTTCGATCACAGGTAGCAGTTGCCTCCCTATATTATCTGTAGTTCAGCCATTATGCCATTTATCGAAGTGTTAGTGGTGATTTAGAGTCTTTTGTTCTGCATTATCATATTTGATTCCCAAATTTCTGTGCATTGATTTTTTGTTAATATGCTACATTACTTTAAAAAGTGTAACTTTCCTATGCCAATCTGACTTTAGAAGTGCATATATCTATTCTAGAATTTTCTTTTGACAGCAAGGTCTAAGTTACTATGGTGTGTGACTTTTGAAATATCATTGTTTGGTTAGTATCTTTTACTGACACCTTCAATTTTTTTTCTTAGGTAGAGCAAATATTAAATGATCGATTACTACATATGGCTAGCATTGATCATCAAGTCAAGGTAAAATTGGCTGAATCTTCCGCCAGGCTTTATGGCTCCAACTAAATTCGAAAAACCAGAGACGTGGTAAAATTTCCCATTATTCCCGTGCCATGGGTCCTACTTAGGCCATAAGGCTTCCTAACTAAATAGGAAACGTTCTCTCTTTAAGCTTCTGAAATGAGGTTTATGTTCTCTGTTTCAGATTGAGTTATAAATTAAGCAAATGTATATCAAATTTTGCCTAATTTGTTATAATAAATTAAAGACATATTAATTTGTAACATTTCGCATGTAGTTTCTAAATAGGTATATTTTTTACTTTCATGACATTGTATTTCAACTGGAGAATTTCTTGAAATGACCCGACCCTAGGCAAGCAACTAGTTTCAACAGACGAATCATTTCCATTTTTCAGAGATATTGAATACTTTCTCTTGGTTAGTAGATTTCTTTATTTACCGAATGGTGCATAGAGACATAAAATTTGATTTGAGGGAGGGCACTCTGCAGTGGAAACTAATTATCAGTGGGTTGAATGGAATCCATTTTGACCCACCAATAACATTCAGTGGGTTAGTTTTTGCTATGTTTCATACTCAACCTTTATTTGACCAGCCCAATCTGATCTTAAACAACTCAATTTTCCCATGTCAACCATATATATCTCTTTTTTCATTTCTCCCACTCTTGCCTTGTACACACACGTACACATATATATATATACATTAAATGCATCTTTCACCTGATATTGCACGACTTTCCAATACTTTCAGGAATCTCGGAAGCGTTTTGACAAAGCTGATGTAGCTTATGATCAGGTGGATACAACATCCCTTTAGTCACACTGTATATCTGTTTTGTGATTGACTTGCATGTTTTTATGAGAATAACTCATTCAATTTGACAAGTACAATTTTTTTTTATAATGGAGTGACTTCTAATTGAAACTGAATGTAATTGTTGCCTAGTTCGATAAATGTCCTTCCCCTATGAAATGGCTGACTTAACTAGCACTCTTGAATACCATTAGTGAAAGGATAGGCAATGCGGAGTGATCAAGTTCGTTTTGCTGTTTGTCGGAAAAGATTTCCTATTTTATGTTGACATTTTGTCCCCGTTGTCAAACATTGACTGATTTGGATCTGGTAAAATTTTGTCATTTCATTATGGAGATTTTCAGAAAATGGATCTTTGGATATTTCCTTTCTGCATGACAGACGTTCAAGATCCTAATATCCTTGGTTACAGGATCCAGCACAGAAGATGGCCTTTCCACTTCTTGCTCCCATGTCTAAACATATGGAAATATCTTGACATTTGTTTGGGTTATAGCCTACTGAAAATACCCTATACTGCTTTTGTTCAGGTCCGCGAGAAGTTCCTATCATTGAGGAAAAGTACAAGGATGGATATAGCTGCAGCCATTGAGGAGGTACCACATATTGGTTCTTAAAATTGAAGATCAGTTTCCCTCTTTGTGTAATTGATTGATTAGGCAGTTTATGGGTCCATTCTCTTTTAAATTCTAATTTGGTGGAGATCTGTTCCAGGAACTTTACTATGCAAGGTCGGCTTTTGAGCATACCCGCTTTAATCTGGTAAACTAAGTTAATTTGCAATTCTTCAATTCCAGCCCTCCTCCCAAACACACCTATAGACATATTTATGTATGTACATTCTTTGGGAGTCAGTAACTAAATAATGATTCAGTTGACAAATAGCAACCATCTAATATTTGCAATGCGTCAAAACAAGATCAGGTTGGAGCTCTTTCTTCTGTTGAGGCCAAAAAGAAGTACGAATTTTTGGAAGCTGTTAGCTTGACTATGGATGCTCATCTTCAGTATTTCAAACAGGTCATTTTCTGTTTTCTTTTGAGTGGCAAACAGGTCTTGAAATGATGAAATGTAAGAGTTATTCACATTATGGAGTACGTCATGGCTGAATCTAAGATACTACGTCATGTACAGGGGTATGAACTGTTGCATCAGATGGAGCCTTATATCAATCAGGTCATTATTCTTGTTCTAAAGCTAGTTGTGAAATAATATTTCTGTACTCTCCTCTTTCCATGAGGGCATTCTACCCTTTTAAATTGGAAGGGATGATAATGGTCCATTTACAAAACTAAATTGTCGTGTTCAGTTTCATGAGATCATGAGTGCCATCTCTTATAGATCTCCCTCAAATTATTTTATTATTGGTTCTCCAATAATCTATTAAAAGATGCTCATTGTGAGCTTGGAATTCCATAAATAACCAGGTATAGCAACCTAGGAATACATATTGAACATGCATATTGATTTTCTTATTAGACCACAAAAAAAAAAAGGAACTGTACTCCAGCTGTTTTTTTCATTATATCATGATGAAGCGAGTATCCTGTTCCTTTTTTCTCTCTTCCTCTGTAGGCAGCATAAGAAGAAGAACTCTTTGTTTTTAGATCTATACTCTAGTAGAACTTAAATAGCAGTACGTGCCAAAAAAGTACTCGTCATCCACAACAAGGCTGGGGATTGGCAGAAACTATTGAACTGGAAAAGCCAAAATGATCAAACCATTTCGCTTATCCATAGCCTTTTTCCTCTATCTGGTAGTGCATGGAAATCTCATGGGGTCTTGAAGAGGTTTCGAGGGCTAATGCATTTCCATTTAATTTGAGCCTAGGGATGTCATTATTTCTCTCAACGAATTAAAAAGACATAAAAATAATTCATTGATGCCTTAAATACTCAACAGGGTCAACACCGTACACCGTTAGTTGCATGTGGTGATCTTTGTTAAATTGTTTTTGCAACCACTACGTTTTAAGTGTTGGGGAGATTGTAGATAGCTGACAGCAGCGTGGTTGAGACCAAAATTGGGAAAGAAGCATCTTTTTGTCCTCATTTTGTTAAATGGCTAAGATCTATGTCGACATACTGGTGTGTTTAGCCTCACTCTAGTTTGCAATCTGCATTTTCAGTGGTTTTGGGTGGACCATTTTTGTTGTGCCAATGCTCATTAATCCATGGTTTTTCGAGCTTTGCAGTCTAATTTTAGTGCCTGTGCATTAGTCATTGATTTTTGGGTTGTGTTTGGACCCCATTGAGTATTCGCCAATTCAATAGATTTAGGATGTTGAAGGGGGTAAACCAAAAATTGTTGGGGTACTTTCTCAGTTATCAGAGTCATGGGATGGCTATCTACTCCATTGTCAATCCCAAGATTGCTAGATAGGCACTGGAGCAGTTTTGGCTTCTTAATTATCAAGAGCTAACACGATTGTTAAAATTTTCAGTTTCTCTTTTTGTTTCTATGGTAAAGTTCTTTCTTGACTGACCTGAGCTGAATGTTCTGCTGGTAAATCCTTCTTTTTCCTTATTCTTTTTGTGCGTTTGTTATTCACAGTGGATTTGGTAGTATACAACATTGAGGAAGTTTACCTCAATGACTAACTGAAGTCGTGTTTATGGCACCTTTCAGTTACTTCTCTCCTTTCTTAATGGGTTACAAGGTCTGTGGTTATTCTAGGTCTTGGCCTATGCACAAAGGTCTAGAGAAAGCTCCACACATGAGCAGGCAGTTCTCAATGGAAAAATGCAAGAGTATAGGAGAGAAGTCGATCAAGAAAGCAGGCGGTCATTCAATGGTCCTCACAGTTCTTCAAATGCTGATGTCATACAACATTCTTCCAGAAGTTCTCAAAAATTGATAGAGGCAGTAATGCAGTCTACTTCAGAAGGAAAGGTACACGCTGTGAGGCTGCAATCATAGGCAAATAATTTTCTCTGATGTTTTAGAGATTCTTATTATTTCTTCCAAAAGCTCTTCCGATTACCATTTCTATAGCTAAGATTTCAATAGTTTAGGTACAAACTATAAAACAAGGGTATCTCTCAAAGCGTTCATCTAACTTAAGAGGTGACTGGAAGAGAAGATTCTTTGTTCTAGATAGCCGAGGAATTCTGTACTATTATCGAACACAAAAGAGCAGGTCCTCTGTAAGTTATCGGATAAACTGGTCTTTTAGCACGTTCTTCTGGCTACTATTTATGCTCGCTCAAAAGCGAATGGTGCAGTTTCAGGGATCTGCCAATCCACTCTCTTCACATAGAAGTTTTTCCACAGAACCAGGAGCAGCACACCGGAGTAGTTGGCTTTCTTCTCATTATCATGGAGGTGTACATGATGAAAAACCTGTTGCACGTCGTACAGTGAACCTACTGACATCAACAATAAAAGCGGATGCAGAGCAATCGGATCTGAGATTTTGCTTCAGAATAATTTCACCTACAAAGAGTTATACTTTGCAGGTGAACTAAGCAAGAGCTGCATTGAGAGAACTTGTTTTTAACACAATATGTAATTAACAGTTTTAAGTAAAGTTGTCTTTTGGACATCCAGGCAGAGAGCGCAGCAGAACAAATGGACTGGATAGAAAAAATAACAGGAGTTATTACCTCTTTGTTGAGTTCCCAGACACCTGAAAGGGTAAAATATTAAGTATTAACGTTAATGTTGTTACTCCAGTTCCAGTTTTTGTCACTTCCTAATGATACTGGTTCATGTTGTAGCATTTCTCCGTGAGTCCCACTATGAAAAGTAGGTCTATAGGAAGTCCCACCAGTCATGGTCAAAGGACGATGGAGGAGTGCACATCCGGGAGGGATTTCATTGCTAGGAGTTCCATACGCCAATCCAAAAGTGCATCACACCTCCCCAGCATGAAAACAGAGAAACCAGTTGAAGTACTGAAGAGGATACCTGGGAACGATAAATGTGCTGATTGTGGTGCTCCAGAACCAGAGTGGGCTTCTTTAAATCTTGGTATTCTTATATGCATTGAATGTTCTGGCATTCACCGTAACCTTGGTGTACATATATCAAAGGCAAGTCAAATGTGCTGCCTTTTGCACCCAAGCTTCTTTACTTTTGTAATAATCAGGCTTTTAGTTTTTCTCCACTTTGTCTTTAGTTAGGGGCAACTGGGCAAGACACCTTCCTAAATCTCTCCCCAGTGAAAGGACCTGTCATCATGTTACACCACACATGCTCTGATAGTCATTATATCAGATTATGTGTCTGTGTAGTGTTTCTCTATATTATATGTGGGGAATATAGCCAAGCTGGAAATTCCAATGTTTATTATGGATTTATCTAGACAACTCAATTCATGAGAAGAGAATGGATTCTTTTGTGGAATATGTAGTGTAATTCATAAACCTGGTGACTAATTAGAACCACTTGCATGTCTGTCTAAAACATGACACAACATCAATCTATCCGCTACGCCTCAATGCAAGACAAGTTGGGGTTATATGAATCCTCTATATCTATTTTGCACCATTCTGAGCCCATCTCATTCTAATAGTGGTAAGTAATTTATTTAAGTAATTATATAGGTTCTCTGATGTAGTGCTAAAAAATACATGAATACAGTTTCGAAAAACGAGCTTCTTGAATAATTATGTGATTGGTAGTCATAGTTTCAATGATTTGTACTGGTTCAGCTGCTAAGTTAGTGGAGATTAGTTAATAAATAAAGATAAAGTGAAACAGAATTTCTGCAGATATGAGAGATCAAGGTAAAAGGATATAGCTCATCTACGACTGCTCAACTTCTTGATGCCACATAGGAACTCTTATTGTTCCTGAAATTTTTGAAGTACCTAGATAGGTTAAAGGATAGGTGAGAGTGGGACATGATGGTTAAGATACTTCAGTTTATATTCAATCTCATTATGTTTAAACTTATGGAAGGGGTTGTCCACTTGATCATTCCCAGGTAGGTCATTGTTCTACTATTTCCTAGTTTAAAATACTTGATCTTCTCTATATATTGTTTCTCTCTATACTCCAATATCTTATACTTCTACAAGGAATCATGTTTAGACCAGTTTGTTTTTAGCATAAACACAAGTTCAGATTTACATGGCCTGTAATGTGATATAAATGATGATCATTGAAAAAATTGAGACAAGTGAAAGTAGAAGAAAAGACAAAAGCTTAGTTATATATTCTGTTAATTTTGGAGTATCCAAAGGAAAATTACCCTAAAATGAGCTGGATGAAAAAAAATGTTTTTTCAGTTAAATTCAAGTCCTTTGTCCATTTCCCTTTTATAGTTTGGATGGAAAATACTTGAACTCCTTTATTATGCACTGGACTTGCTTAGATCATTGCATTTTATAGAGCTTTTCAGATGATTATGCAAAATTTGAAGTATTCCTAACAGCTCAACTGCAACTTTGAAATTAGGTAAGATCCTTGACACTTGATGTTAAAGTGTGGGAGCCTTCAGTCATAACCCTATTCCAGGCACTTGGTAATGTGTTCGTGAATTCTGTTTGGGAGGGTTTGTTGCATCCAAGAAGAACTTTTCAGGCAGATGAAATACCAATGCGGTAACTTTGAAAATTCAGCATGATTTAAATTATTGTTATTGTTCTTCTTTATTGAAAAGTGTCAACTGGTTGCTCTAGGTTTTTGGAGTCCCAGAAACACAAACAGTTCTTTTGCAAACCCAGTGTCGATGATCATATTTCAGTGAAGGAGAAATTCATCCATGCAAAGGTACCACTACATTGTCAACATGTTCTCCTAGCCGTTTCTCTGTCCTCGAGTGATAGCTTCACATAGTATTTGTTTTCCTCTAAAGTCTATATTTTTACCTTATCCCTCTAGTTCAATCATTTGGTTAGCCCTTAATGTCACCATTGGTGGATGTTGCACACTATGCCCGTCTTGTTGACTCACTAATTATGTAGGCTTATTATCATAGATAATATCTCCCACTTATACGTCATACCATAACTCATGAGCCTTCTGCTGTACGGCTGCCCCACCTGATTAGCGGACTGGCACTGCACATTATGCATGTGGAGCGACCTAGTATTATCTGAGGTCTTATATGGGACTTAGTAGTCTCCTACCTAAAGTTCAGAGCATAGCAGATGTAGGCCTCCTACAGTACGGCTGCTGCAATTCGCAGCATCATTGGTCCAAGGTCTGGTTTGGCTGCTCCAGGTGCGTTAACTGAAGAATTTCCCCTTGGCTCATGATGCTGTTGAGCACGGAGTATTTTGTCTGGCCTACTAACTTAGTCCCTCTAGTAAAGTGCTACAACCTTTTTTGGCGATTAATGGCCTTGCATAATCTTATGGTCTCACGCAATGCAATTTGCATACTTTCTAGTGCCTTGAATGAACAAATATATGGTAATGGTATGCTGGTTCTGTATGTATGTGTTTTTGGGAAAACCTCTCTTAAAACATACGCTTCTGTATGGCATATTTGGCAAGGTCGTTAATCTTCACTTGCTAAGTCTTCTTATGGTTGCAGTATGCAGAAAAACGTTTTGTTCACAAAGTGGCAGACAGTGGGCACTTGCTTTCTGTGGCACAACAGTTGGGGGAAGGTGTCCGTAAAAATGACAAGAAAACTGTATACCGACTAATTGTTGTCTATCAAGCAGATGTTAATTCAGTCTACACGCAAGCATCAGTTGGTACGTCTTTCTCTAGTGATATATTGAGATTGCATTGACATACAAACCCTGATTATAATTTCAATTTCCTAGGCAGTGATTGTTCAAGCTCTTTGAACCCACAAAGTGGAAGTGAAGACCATTCCTCTGATGAATTTCTTGATGGCTGTTCCCTGCTTCACCTAGCTTGCCAAACTGCTGATATTGGCATGGTAGAGCTGCTTCTGCAGCATGGTGCTAACATAAATGCTTGCGATTCACGTGGTCAGATCCCATTACATCATAGTTTCTTAAGAGGAAGAACTGAAATTGCCAAACTATTACTTTCAAGGTATTTCTTTGGTTCTAAGACCAGTGCTAATCCTTTCTTCTCTTAATTATATATTCAGTTTGATAATAAAACTCTTGCTGTGAGGCTGATGTCCAGACATCTGCATTTGCATAGAAGTTACTAAGGAGGTTCACAATATAGGTTACTGCATCCTATATATCCATATAGGTAAAAACATTGGGGAGGTCCACAGCTATACGTTTGTACTCAGAGAATGTGATTCCAAGCACTAGGGGTGTGTTTTTACTGGTTAAATCCAGCTATCTTATTGGTCGTAGTAATTATTATCCCAAGTTTGGTTCAGGAACTATGGAACCCTCTAAAAGTTTATTTAGTGGGAACTGGTTACAAAGTCACGATTTTAACTTTCAGCTGATGCAATCATGTAAAGTATTCTCATGCTGAACATGCGCCTCTTTTACCATTCGGGTACATTGTGCTCAGTTTGGGGATAAATATGGATAAAGTAGCAGGCTAAACCTCTAAGAGGTTGGTTTGACCTTCACATACCAAATACCAGAATCTTTGTGCACTTCCTCAGCTTGGGAAATATCAAACTCACCTCCTCCTGGCTTGAGTCTCTGCATGTGAGATCACCTTTTAGATACTAAAATAGGTCTTAATAACAACCCCTTCCCCCCAACAACCCCAAAAAATGATGAAAATAATATATAAAATCTTTTATGACACAGATTTAGGCAATCAGATCTCGAGTAACACGTGCATGATGTCTCCTATCACTAAGTGAAAGACATCCTCCCCTTTTCCAAGTACAGATATGTTCGTGGATTAGACTCCTGACATACAGTTGTGAGAGAAATACATACACAGAAGCCACATTAGCAAATTGCTGCTAAATCATAGAGTAGCAGAAATGCAGAAGATAATTAAAAAACTATAGAAATTGAAGCCAAGTTGTAATTGTCATTTAAGGAATACAAGCATGTTAAAAGGAGTCCGATAAAGAAGTAAGATTGGGTAGCTTCTGCACTTTGTATTGCTTGTAGGACAGGGAACTAGTTAGAAGATATCAAATCGCTGTATTAATGCATGATCGTTAAACTCCAGCTGAATTTCAGGGGAAAGCAATTGAGTTCATGCTTTTCAGAGTCAGAGGGAGGTTATGACTTTCTATCAAGCAGTTTGATGCTAACATTCATAAATCACAAAGGAATTAGTTATTGAATGTTTCCCTTCGGTCAATCACTGAACCACAATGATTCCAGCCCCACGTGGGTACAAATGCTGAAGTCTCTGACCATCTCATCTTAAGTTGTTGGAGAGACACTCCCCCTCGTCCTCTTTTAACACCTTCAATCATTTTGGCATCATCCTGCATGCTGCTGCATTTGGAGGTCCACATAGAATATGACCAGATAATTTTAGGCTACCTTTTTTCATTTTTTTCATCTATAGCTACTTGTACCTTCTGTTAATTGACCATTTCTAATCTTGTATAAACTCGTATGACCACACATCCACATTAACATCTGCACAACATTGATGGTCACATAACTGTTTTGTAGAACTTGCCTTTTATAGCGTAAAACAGAAGAATTATTTATTGATGTTGATGTTTTGTAATATCTCGTTTTACAAAGGACAACTTCTGAGGTTCGGGTTCAGTATACAAGTAGAGGAGCTTAAACCAATTCTCCAGGATTTATAGGGTGCGTATATAATGGTTTTTACCATGCACTAATTTTCGTTCTGAGCTAGAACATAACAAATTCTGCTCTCAAATTTCAAAACTGCTTCCATCTGATTAAGGCTTAGAAAATGGAAGAATGGTAGTTGATTACTGTTTTACTTCATCGGGTAGTAGAGCCAGCTTAATAGACTAGTTCTATTCCTTGACTTTTCTGGAGGATTATGTTCTTTGTATAGATAAATGACATAAACTTTCTACTGCTTAGTTAGTACCCCATTACACTTTCAAATCTTCTATTGGTGATAGTGGCCTCAGATTTGAAGGAGAACTGATGATTTTTAAATGATAATGGAGTTAATTCTGATATTTAAATCATTAAAGTAATGTTGACAATTAGCTAATGCCGCTGAAATTGATAACTGACAGTTTTAGTCTTTTCTGTAATGCTGCTGAAATCGATAACTTACAGTTGCAATCAGTTGTATAAATTTCTGTAATGTTCTTTAACCAATATAATATTCTTTCGAACAGGGGGGCTGACCCACAAGCTGTTGATAAGGAAGGTAAGACTCCTTTCCACCTTGTCGAAGAATCAGCCCTGGATGATGTGGAGATTCTCGCTCTCCTGAAAGTCACAATAGGATAGCACCAGCACAAAGATCTGAGGTAGACCACTTAGAATTGCATTATCTTCAAAAATGACGTTGGAGTTATTTGGAAGTGCTAGAGCCTTCTCAATCCTTAGCTTCATTCTGCCAGAGAAATATTGAAATAAGCAGGCTTTCTGACATTAATGATTCAGAGAACTGGTGCTTTTCCTCCGCGGAGTTGTACCACATTTCTAAAGCTACGAGAGACAGTTAGCTTGTGCTTCAGGCTTGTCGTTCCTACAAAATGCAACAATTTCAGCTTTAGTAAAAGAGTTTGAGGCCATGCATTAAGCTGCTTCATCTGTATTCCTCATTATTAGTTTTTTCCCCTTTGGTTTCTTTCGTTATCCTAGTTCTGCAGCTCTTGAAGAAGTAGGCAGTGGAGCAGTTATACATGCATTATGAATTGATTTTGATGGTTTGAACAGAATAAGCTACCATATAAAGTGGGTGAAATTTTTGTATAGCAGCTTGCTGATTGAGCTGAAGAAATCGAGGAGACATGCGATACATAGCTTGCTTGTATTGCCAGGAGTATTCAATATAGCTTACTGGTTAATTTTCCAAGATCAAGAGGTTGGTAAATGATAGTTTCATTATTCATTTGTACCTAAAGCAATTGATGGGAAATTGAGTATAGTATGTGCCTTGCCATAAGAGCTGTAGTTTTAATATTTAATCATTATTCTTTTTAATTTTTTTGTAGAAGTTATCAGAGTTCTAGCTGTTTGTAACGCATATATAAATTAAAGACCTTGAGATGAGCATCAAAGGCCACAAAGGCGCAAATCTCACTTAATTCAACATATCGAGTCCCTTAATATTAAGGAGCAAAAACGAATAAGTTTTTTGGTAATAACTTGTGAAATTAACATTAACAACAAAACTTTGTACACTTAAAAGAGCATCCAGTGTTATAACCCCCTTATAGGAAGGTTGTTCTTAACAACTAGACCTCGAAAACTATATGAATACAAGGCAGAGTCCACTGTTGGAGTCCCAAACTAGTTACATAATCTATTAATGAAACAGTTGTTCCTAAGAGTAGTCCTGTATCTATGCAGTTCACCTATTCTTTCCCTAAGCTCATTCTGAATCTGCTTTATAGTATACTCTTGGTATTCTCGAACAATTTCCAGTTCCTGGCTTGCCAGGTGTGATAGATCATTGCACTCCCCCCTATATAGCAGTTCCTTCTTATACTGCCGCCAATGTCTGTCTTCTTTTGAACTATTGTAAACTCTACATGATCCCTTTCTTCTGGATGGAAATCCCAGCCCAACTAACCAGTGCATTTCTCACTTGAGTTATCCAAGTACATTCTGCAAATAGATGATGCTGTGTTTCAGGAACACCTTCCTCACTAAGACAACAGTTTCCATCATCAACCTCTCTTTTGTTAGCAGTTTATCATGGTAAGCAAGCCACACAATTACTCTTTGCCTTGGCATCATAAATTAAGTCAGCTACATAGCTTTTAGTCACAGAGTAATCACCCTTTGGAGTTAATGTGTACTCCCCTCTATGATTCCAGCTTATCATTTGGCCTTTCAACGAGTTTAATTTTCTCCAATACCAACTGCTATCTGCTGGTGATGTATGTTCCCAAAAAAGAATAAGTTTGCTATTCGGTTATGTGTATTCTGCATTTACTCAAAAGTTACACAACATATATGTTGATAGGAAAGTGAAAGCTACCAAGTTGTGCTTCCTTCTTTGACATGGGTAGGACTTAGGCACACTAATTATTGCTTCCTAGTAATATACGAAACAATACCCCTCTGGTTCGTATTACATGTCTTTTAAGGTTTATGCAAAACTCCTTAAGAAAGATATTTAACAGTCTTAACCATAAGAAATGTTTGTTTAAACTATTATTTACCTCAAGTTAAGAACCTTAACTGTCTTCACTCTTAAACCCCACTTCTAGGAATATTTTATGCTCCAAATGAAATAGACCGAGTTAGGAGGAGTATAGCAGAAAAATGGGAAATTTTTAAATTTCAAAAGTTTTGCAGGTTTTATACTGAGACTTAAAGGTTAATTACTAAAGAATGAACCTGGTATTCTTCTGCATATAAGCTGGATCAAAGTTGAATGCGGGGAACAATATGGGCTTTCCTTGATAAATTAAGAAGAATTAACCCAAATAGCCATTTCTTAAACTAAAAATACCTGACAGATGTATATTATATGTATAATATATATAATTGTATATAATCAATCTATAATTTATATATACCGGCTAGAAAAATAAATAATGAATCTGACCGGCTATTTATGCAACAATCCCATAAATTAACCAGGCTGTGAAAGCTTGCAACAGACATGGACATTTGCTCTTAAATTTCAAATTTCATAAGAATTTAAACTGATAGCATGAATTTGTACACTATTAAATCACTTAAAAGATATTTACAGACAACAGTTTGTAATAGGTGTCAATCAATAACCAGGCAACTAGGGTAGATTATCTAATTTAACATGTTAAATTGCATTGATCATGTGTATATATGTTGGAACTATAAATAGAAGGAGCGCAAAAGAGTGCTTTTTTTGTTTGTTTGTTTTTTGCCTGTGGTTGGATAACTGGATCAGCCATCAATTATGGGCCAAAATACAAAATTAGGCCGATCGGCTGAAACTAATTGCATTCGCTAGTCAAAAAATATATAGAATATATATGTTTTTTGTATATAAAACACATATATGCAAAAAAAAAAAAAAAAAAAAAAAAAAAATTGCCGGCTATTATTTTTGATAGAGCAAAAAGTACAGATTTTGCTCTTCTTATGACCTATCAGTTCTTTTTATAATTGGCATTTCGGGAAGGAAGTCTTCATATTGTCTGTGGTCCACTGTGTTCTATTTTTAAGATAGGAAGGAATTAAATGCGAGACGCATTTTGTTTTTATATGCTTCCTTTCTGGGGGGAAATAGTGAACAAAGTAATATATGGTGATGTGGGGGATGTCAATTTTGAGGACTGGCTTTCACAGCGAAGTGCACATGAAATTGTCTCAATAAATGCATTATGAGTACTCTCTTCACAGTTTCATCTAGAAGACACAATACTCAATTTTTTCTACTTCAAATAATTTATAATTATAGATAATTTCATAGACTTGCCTCCAAGTTTAAAAGAGTTATCGTCCATGAAAATAACCATCATTTTTTCTTCATTAGGATAGGCTTATATCACACCCTCTAGGGTGGCGCTCTTTTCTAATCCTGCGTGAATGCAAAATATTCGTGCACTAAACTGTCTTTTTAAAAAAAATGATAACGTAGTATAAACTAGGGATGGGCGTCGGCCAGTTCGGTTCGGTTTGGTTTGTTCGGTTTTTGGTTTTCTATTTGGTGCACCAATAACTGAACCAAAATTAGTTCGGTTTCTTCGGTTTTTGTTAATTCGATTCGGTCGATTCTCGGTTCAATTCGGTCGGTTTGGTCTTGTCATATTGAGCTTTTAAGTCGGACTTTTTCTACTAAAAAATATGACTAATTTCATGTTTAGTGCAACTAAAACTCGAAAATGCAATACTTATAATATGACTAGCCAAATCATTTAGTTGATCCAGGAAATATAAATTTATTTGACAAATATTACTTACAATATAACTATCTCATAGACAGCAACATCGGCAACGCGCAAGCAAACAAAGATGAAAGATGCATTGGCAAAGTCAATTTTTCGAATGTGGGACTTTTTTTGGGTTTGGGCTTCAGATTTTATAATGTAAATATGTGGAAAAGTTGGGCTAGACAACTTAAGAGGAACCCAGAGGCTAGGATCCATATTAGAAAACTTTGATTTTTCTGTTTAATCGAAAATCGAAGTTGCAAAACCGAGCACCGAACCGAACACCAAAATTATAGAAAACGTAAACAGCAAACCGACCGAATAAGTCGAAAAATTGAAACCGATGAACAAAAATTTGCGGTTCGGTCGTTATCAAGCCCACCCCTAGTATAAATGAGGCGGATTCTCTTAACGTACAAAGAAAGAGAGAGAAGTATGTATATATGGCTATGAAGTCCAGAAAACCTGAAGGCTGGTGTATAATGTATTTATTGCGTAATATTCCTTCCGGTCCATAATAAGTGACCAATTTGCTTTTTTATTTTGGTTCAAAATAAGTGTTCATTTATATAATCAAGAAAAAATTCAATTTATTTTTCCAAAATTACCCTTATGTACATATCCATAAAGGCATTTATTCCTCACATTTGAGAAGAGAAGTAAGTGCTACTATAACTATGGTGCAACATTTAATGAAGGGTAGTTTAGTCACACTAATTATGTTCGTCTAGAATTTAGTATTTTCTTAATGGGTGTGCCCAAAGCAAATTAGTCACTTATTGTGGATCGGAGGGAGTACTGCAGTAGTTGTATGCATTTTTCTTTGAAATCCTGCCATTTTTTCTTTTTCTTTCTTTATTATAGTTTTGACTCTTTTGGCGATTGATGACTTTTGCACAGGGACAACACCTGTAGTGATTTCTTGAATTGAAATGAATATGATATGGTCCCTTCAAGCTTTGAGCAATAAAAACAAATAATTTCTGTTTGGAGCATATATATGAAAGATTTTCCAACTGGCTTTTACCCCTTTTAGGCCAAACCTTGTACTATACTAAATACCAATAATCAAGATGTGACCAACTATTGCTTGTTAATAGACAAGACTATAAGATCAAAAGAGTATCAGGAGATGGCCCAATTGTCTTAAGGCCAACTTACCATTTTGTCCCTTGAGACTGTTTGTTGTCAAAAAAGGACATACCTTAGCGAATAAGTGGGCGTTTGGACATAAAAATTGTGAAATTTCGGGGTCAAGTGAAAATAGTATTTGAAAATTAGAGTTGTGTCTGGGTATAAATACAATTTGGAGCTGTTTTTAAAATTTTTGCGAGTGATTAGAAGTGAAAATTTTGAAAAATAAATTTTTGAATTTTTTTTCGAAATTCAACGTCAATTTGAAATTTGAAATTTTCATGAGCAACCACTAATTCCGAAAAAAAGTAATAAAAAAAAAGAAAAACTTACACAAATGCCCCAAATAAATCTCAACTTACCAACCTCTAGCCATTAATCATAGACTTATCAAAACTAGCCAATAAAAATTGAAAAACCAAATAATAGGGTTCTTTCTCTCAAAGAATCACATGCAAAAATCACCTTCCATATTTTTAAGCGTGATTAGCAACACTAGATACAAGACGGAAAGGAAATTTTATGGATGAGGTAGCAAATAAGGTGATGAAATACAAAAAATATATACAATATTCCAAAAATCTAAACAAAAAAGGAACTTTTTCAATGGGTATAGTTGAAATTCATTGAAAATATATAAATAAGTCAATAAACAAAATTTGAGGAAGATTGGAGGTGATTTGGACTGGTTTTGTATCAAAATTCGTAATTAAATCGAGTTCAAAAAAGTCTTCTGCGACACATGTATCAAACATGTATCACGCATGTATCTCACACACAGGTATACATGGATATACATGTGATACACAATAGATACAAATATAATACATTGTGATACACAAATGATACACAGTGTGATACACATATCATTTTTTTCATGTTTTTACCGAATTTTCAATTAAAACCACCTCAAAACTTGACCAAATCATCCCAAAACTGAGATTCAAGCTCCTTAAGTTGTGCATAATCTATTCTAAT